CCTTTCTTCAATTTATTTCTCACTGGCTACATAAAAGACACCCTCTAATTCTCTAATTCTCTGTTCAGCAGGATCCTGCTGGCTCCCAATACCCTCTCTGGCAGCAGCAGCAGGCGTCCCAGGCTATTCCCTATGCGCTTCTCCTCCCTTTCCTTGCACAGGGGATAGCTACAGCTGCTGAGTAAGAAGCGAGAACTTTATTCTGGCAATACAGCAATACAGGCAGGTTGGAAAACATCAGTGAAATATCTTTGCCCTACAGTAGGAAAATAGCAGCAAACTTACCGCTGTAACTCTTCAAAAAATTGTAGTTTTAGTGCATTATGTGTATTAACTGAAGAAGGAACAGGAAAAGTGTCCAAGAGGCAGACAAAAATTTCTTCATTTCTCTCTCTAGTTATTCTTATGATCCACTTTACTGATGTAAATAAGAGTCAATCAGTTTGGTGATTGCTTTGGGTTTCTGCACTTTAGAAGACAATGGATTTTGATTATAATTTGACTTAAATAGCTTGGTGCATAGGACAACAGWTTGCTAAGAAAACTTAATTCAACGATCAAGAGATTCAAACATTGACTCTTTTACTAGACCATAAAATCCTGTACGACATTTTAATATTCATATAAATGAACTGCTGTTCTACTAGATATGCAAAGTTCCTCAGCCGATCAGAACGCACATCGTCTCAAGGGCCAGGATATTCCCCTTGAGATTCAATTAATTTAGGAAAACTGAAGCCCACTAATTTCATAGTTGGAAGGCAYTGGAAACATGAGTAAATCTATTTTTAAATATTATTTGTCCCTGAGCAGRCAAAACTGATGAGTCAAGTACTCTCCTGGCAGTTGCTGACAAAAGATATTGCAAACTATACATGTCTAGGGGAATTTATTGTCACCAACAGTTAGTTTGAGCACTGCTGCATGTAATAAAGTCATCAGAATAAGTTATGGTTACTCTGTTCTAGGCAATTTCAGTCATTAATGAATCATGTAATTGTGTCCTAGCTAAGAAAAGTTGAAAATCCTGGTTCTGAATAATTTTTGACACACACAAACATGCTTCCACACGTTCCATAACTACCACTGAGCAAACAGTTTAACTGCACCAAAGGAAGCTACATGAAGAAGTACTTTTCTTCTCTCTCYAAAGTACAGAATGAGACTGTGAGCTCCTTAACAAGAACTGCTCTATACTTGCTTTCCACAGCTGTATACCTAAGGGATAGAGTTAAGGTATGTATAGAGTTACTGAATTTCTGTTGCAGGGACTTGACTTTTAAAGCTGATGCCATGTGCTATGAAACTGGAAAGCTCAGGTTCACCAGAGCAGATGCAGAGGATCCAGGATATTGCTTGCAAAAAGAAGAATTTTATGTCCTCTCAAGTGACACACTGCAATGAGCTGCACAAAATGCTCAACAGAAGCATGTAACGTATATGCTGTTCTCAACAGCAGGTTTCTAAGAGGGGGTTAGAAATCCCTTAGTTTCTCTGACTTGAATATTCTGAAACAGGAGAAAGAATTCTGGGTTGCAGGGAATTCTGGACAACAGAGAAGCACCTCAACAGAACAGGCCTATCTCAAGYGACACAATGTGGAAAGCTTCATAGATGAACAAACAGAATAAAGGCACATTTCGCTGTGTCTCTGTAGAGGTGGAAGGAGGTAGCTCTTGTTGCTTCCCAAATGGATAGATTGAGGGAAATAAACACTCCTTTGCAGCCTTCCTGAGAGAGACAAGACAGAGTTCCTACTCCCCTGGAACTGTGATTATAAACTACTGTTTCTATGGTAGTTTGCAGTGGGAGAAATAATGCCTGTTTTGTCAGGTGCCAGGGAATATTTAAAAGCAGAACTRCTGGTTCCAGGAACTGCATCCAGCCTYGCACAGTTTTCTGTATGCATTTCTTTTCTTTCTGCATTTCTCTTCCTGCTTTAAAGCAGACCTAGAAAAGAATCTGCATGCGCAGTACCGTGGTTTTGCTGACAGTGGAGTGACACTTAACGTGTGTGATTCACACACCGACAGGCAAGGCACCACCAGCAATACAGCCATGTGGGCCTCATGAACAGTCACGAACTGGTGACAATCACAGTCTGACCCCTGCATCAGCAAGGGCTGCCACAGTGTGCAAACCAAGCTGTTTGCAAAGCARTAACAGCTCATCTGTACTGGAATTCAATACAGCATGAACCTGCAGACCCTCACCAACTTTTCTGCAGTGAAAGGCAGTCCAACTGAGCAGGACTGCAAGATTATGCTAGTCTTGGGCTGTAGAGGCAGCTCTTCTAGCAGAAGATTTAGTCTTACAGCATCCAGGCTCCACCTTCAGCAGCTGTGATTTAAGACCCTTTCTTGAAGGCTCATTCCAAAATTAAGAGCTGTATGCAGAGTTCTAGGCTGCCTCCCCAAGGATGGGGGAAAGGAGGAAAAGGGAGGGAAATTCAAGAGGCTACTTACAGTTCTTTGTAATTCTTTGATTTAAATTTGATTTATATTTAATTTTCTTTCATTCTCATAACTTTTTTTTTTTTTTTAGTTTAGGTCAGTTTGGAGCTTCAGGTCAAAAACTTGTAGCCAGAGAGCACACGTTTAGGCAACTTGATTTAAACGGAGAAGCTTTGCAGAAATGTCTTTGCAGGTTCCTACAGTCCTKCCACTGCTTTATAAACAGAAACATCTGAAACAATGGGGCTCAACAGTCCTTCTGCTACTGTTTTTTCCCCTTCAGAGCTAATGTTGATAATTATCTCTCCTCCAATTCTCAGAAGTCTCTTAAGTTATTTAATCCGCTCCGCAAAATGCTCACATTGCTTTTGAAGATGAGCGGATAAAAGTGATCCACAGCCATTTTGCCCTTTTTTTCCACTTTCTGAAGGTGTTTCTCACAACCCTTTGTCCTTCCTTACAGCTCGTGACAGCTTTATAGGCAAGAAAGGCAAAGGGAGAGTCTAATCAAATACTGTATGTGCATTAATGATGCCTTGTTTAAGTGCTTTTCAACAGTCAGTAGGGTTAGATACAACAAGTTTCTAATCCTTTTATACTGCAGTCATTTAAGCATCCTCCTGAAATCAAAATTCCTGTGGTTTACCGCTCTTTTCAGATGACAGCATTGTAATTAATGGTAATTTTATTTTAAACCTATAATCTTCATATTTCAATCACCACTTGAATAAACAGTGATGATTAAATCATAAAGCGTCCCTGGGAGATGTATATGGCACATGAAGAATTAGTTGTATAATTCCACTACTACTTCTAAATTCCACTCATTTATTTTCATTTGCGATTCAATTAAAAAAAAAGTTTTTTTGGATAAAGCTTTATAAATTCTGTGATTAATACACATAACATTTTCACTTTCTCCCTGGAGACCTGGGAACTACCAGGATTATCTCTTACTAATTGGCTGATACAACTTTTAAGCTGTTTGAAAACTGACTAAAACAATGGCTGCTGATAAGAACTACAACTAAGTTGATAGCGTGGTCATAAAATGTTTCGTGAAAAGTCACATATTTCAATCAAGTTAGTCACAGAAAGATGCCCTTTTTATTATGTGGCATTTATTTATTTATTATTATGCAGTAAATTATGTGGACATATGTCACCCTTTTGGAAGGATTTCTAAAAGCGCTCTGCAGACTTGTCTCAAACTTCTCTCATCAACCAGATGAGAATGAGATTTTGTCTCAATTAAGATATCACATCTCTCACTAAGACTTCACTTTTCCTTCTGTCCTTTCTCCCAACAAATCCCTCTTTGGAAAATCTCTTAGATATTCTCCTACAATTAACATTAATTTTTTATTCCTTTTTTTTTTTTTTTTAAGTTTTCTTTTAAGTCACACCTGCAGAACTCCCCATTCTGGGACCACACAATCAGGATGCTTGACAGCTCACAAGCTTCTGAAAYACCACAGACACCTCCAAGAACCACAGCATGTTGACACTGAACTAGAAAGYTCTTTAGTATTACAGACACAAGGCTCTCATTTCAGAAAAATCTCAGTGCATCAATAGTTCCTTTTGAATGATCCTGAATTTTGCTACTCATAATCAAAATACAGGCACATCCTCTCCACTTCCCCTTTTCTTTGTTCTGCTAGCCATATTTCTTTGAGACTTACATTCTGGGCTAATTAATACATACTAGGTGGGATTCATTAAATTAAGACAAATGCATACATATGCCTAAGGTGTAGCAGATCACTAATCTCTCATTTTACTCAAAGGACCTGGAAAGCCCATCCTAAAATAAGCACCCAGTAGCTAGTGAGCGGAATCACTCTTCAGGCTCCACTGACCGTAAGATTTTCATTGACTCTGAAGGGAGTGTTAATTACTTACTTGCAGAAATCAAATTTAGATGTCTAAATATCAAATAATCCCACTATTTTTTGTTTCAAGTCACTCTAAAGCATAAAATAAAAATCAAAAATTCTAAGACAGACTATGAAATGTGTAAAGTTTTGTGAAGAGAAACTAGGGATGAGCCAGGTGGATGACAAAATTTATCTTTTTCCATGCACCTTTTTACTAAGCAATGAATATAGACAACGTGCAGCTCAGTCTTGTTTGATGCAAGTCTCAGGGAAATGCCATGCCTGTATTTTGTTTTGTTATCACTTGTTAATATATTTTAAATGTATATTTAACTTCTAATGAGGCACGGAAGTATTCCTCTGTCTTTGCAAACAAAAATATTTTACATAGTAGCACAGCAAACGACCAAAAAAAAAGTTTAGTCATTACTTTGAGAATATCTATACTACATCCAAATATTGGCAAGAAAAACCCTGTATGCAGGAATATGAGGAAAACCTGCATGCTTGAGTAGAAACTTTATAGCATTTATTGGCTATACAAAAAAAATTATCTATTCATAAAAAGAATTCTTCAAAATGTTAAGTTAAACTAATATTACAAAAGAATCCATAAGAGTTTTTATGTTATACTTAAGCAGTATAGAAAAAGAAGTTTTAAACTTACCCTATTGATACTGCTGTTGTTTAAAATAATTTGAATTATTTTTTTCTGAAATTCTTCCAGCTTCTTGAAACATTTTTTCAGAACATGATTAGATAATTTAGTATCAGCTATTAAACTGCCCAAAACACAAATGGCTTCAGTGAGAATATCTGAAACTGGGAATTTAGGACTGTTGTAAAAAGCAGTCAGTCCATCAAGCAACTGAGACACAGAACTGCATATGGTGAAAGAATCATCTTCAAGTTTTGTGAGGTCTGCTTGCAGATCTCCTATTTCTGAGAGTTTTCTTATTTCAAGTAGACGTTGCAAAAACTGTACTGGAGCAGTCAGAGATTCTTCCTTGTTAGCACAGCAAAGACTCAGTGGGGGAACTACTTCCAGGCAGTATTTAGAAGTATGAAGATTATGCTCAGACTGGTGAAAATCAGAAGTTGTGCCTAAAGAATCGAATGAATAGTCATTAGACACATCACACCCAGAGTCTTCTAGCTGGCTGGAGTAACTCGGAGGGTTTGTGCATTCCTGAGCCAGAAGATTTTCATCAGAGGCACTCGATTTTCCTGAAATAGAAATGTGAAAGTTAAATTTGTAATACCAAAGACACTTTCATAAACATATTTTTAGCTTCTTCTCCTTTTACTCCCATGCAAAATCACAAGTCATACATATATGCTTGTTGCCTATCAATTCCACACTCCCAGAATTTAATTAGGATTTTTAACACGGGAAATATCATGAGGCATCTACAGTATTCTAATTCCTGATGAAAGTAAGTCCATGCAGATTTCAAAAAATATACCATCTGCAATTGAACTGTAAACAACACTTCAGTTTCTGAAAACATACTAGATGAGGTTTTGAGTTTGATACTCAGCAGTATCTTAATGGAATGGAAACTTTTTTTTTTTCCCTTTTTCTTTATTTCTTCATGGGAGTGGGACAGGGAGTCCCATATTTGGGCATTGAACAGGCTCTGTACCAAMTGACTCATGATGAAAGAACTAACTACCAGGGAAATCAACTACAATATATATTTTTTTCATTTGAATAAATGAATAAATTCTCATAAGAAAAATCATCTTGAAGAAATCACATTTAAGTATCCTGATGAATATGACAAGTAAAGTGGCCTTTGCACCACCGACTGCATCAAAGATTGTGTATAAGCTGGACTTGTACTAGCACAGTGAAACCAAAGGTCTAATCAATGGCATGTTCACAGGCATGAATGCTAATGCCTATATCCTGACAAAACGAACAAACAAGTAAAAGCCAAAATAACAATATCATTTCTTTATTTGAAACCTGAGAAATGATCTTATTACCAGTGATCTAATGCAGAACTGCATGCTGTTCCAATATTAGAACCCCATATTAGACTCCTTGATCTCCATTCAGAGGCTGAAGTGAACATGAACATTTTCAGAAGAGATTTAATTCCCACAACAGAATCACAAGAGGATCCCAATTACCACAGCTACACTCCTAAACTAAACTCTTACTATACTATGTAGTTTTTCCCCAATTTTTTGTTACCCAGAATAAAGGCAGGGGTTCTAGTGGTTCCACTTGTTTTTTAATAAACATTATTCCTAAAAATCACCACGCATCTCATCAGGAACTTAACGTGCAGCAGCGAAGCTGAAGACAACCGYAGCCCCTTTCTCTTGCAGGCAGAACAGGGTCATTTCTCTCTCCGAGTAAGTGGGTTCCTTATGCAGAAGGCTGCAAAGAACAGGCTGAACATCCTCCTCCTTCCCTCTGCGCCATGTAGCAGCTGCAGCAAAGCCACCTGAGAGCAYAGAGAGCAGCTGCTTCCAAAGGGAGGAAGCTTCCACAACCAGAACAGACCTGTTATCCATGGAAGGAGCAGCACTCTGAGATTTCAGTGAATTATTATGCTCCAGCTGGTGTTTTTTTCCAGATTGCAAATTGACTTATTTAATTATCCTGAAAAGGCCTCAGCTTTCATAAAGTTCCCCATTGTGTCACTACAATTACGGGAAACAGATTTATCTCATCATCTTATTCCAARTGCCATGGTCCCATAAATTGGCACTAATAGCATTTTAACCCCATTTTTGTCACCTCACATATCTGTTCTCTCACTTCCTCGATCTCCTTGTAAATAAATAAAATAAAATACTTCCTAGGTTTTGAGACTTTCCTTGCAATGCTGCCCACTCACATTAGTATTGCTGATAGAAAAATGGGAGTACATTCGCACCCTGAASATGTCGGCTGACAATTTATTTTTGAAGATCTGTCTGATACCACCATGACTTAGAGAATCAGAGATTCMCAGAATGGTTAAGGTTGGAAGGTACCTCCAGAGATCATCTAGTCCCATCCACCTGCTCCAGCAGGGACACCCAGAGCACGGGGCGGCATCCAGGCGGGTCTGGGAGATCTCCAGAGAAGGMGACTCCACAGCCTCCCTGGGCAGCCTGTGCCAGGGCTCTGTCACCCTCACACTAAAGAAGTTCTTCCTCACATGGAGATGGMACTGCCTGTGTTGCAACTTACACCCATTGCCCCTTGTCCTGTCACTGACCACCACTGAGAAGAGTTTGGCCCCTTCCTCCCTACATTCTCCCCTCAGGTATTTATACATATTGATCAGATTCCCTCTCAGCCTTCTCAAAGAGAAGAGAAAAGGCTCAGAGAAAAGGCTGAGATGATATTTAAGGAGTCTTTGCTGCCTCTTACAGGTCTCTATAGCGAGTGTGCCACATTTACTGCGTGAGAGAGGATCTCTTTTTGTAGAATTGCCTCTTCCTGAAGCACTAGACAAAAATAATCAGATCTGTCTCCAGAGGTCCCTTCTAAGCTTGACTATTCATARGAACTTGGTGTGATTGGGCAAACTGAAATTCACTTTCCTGCTTGAATGGTGTTCTTGMTGTTGAGAAATTTGGAAGTCTTAGAATCATAGAATGCCGAAGGTTGGAAGGGACCTCAGAGGTCATCGAGTCCAACCCCCCTGCTCACGCAGGGTCACCTAGAGCACGTGGCACAGGGCTGCATCC